GAGGGATGCGCGGGGGTGGGGAGAGGGAGGGCCCCGCAACGTGCCGGGGCGGGGGAGCTTCCAAACTGTGTGTGACAAGTTCCAGGGCCCAGTGAAAAATTCAATTCTCTGTGCGCACCCCCCCCCCTTTAAAAAATACAGAATTGGGTATAGATGGTCCTTTAAAATTGCATCAAAAATTAAAATAAGGGTGGTGACTGAGGAGGGGAAAGGGTGTGGGCCCTCTCACGCCTTTCTTTCCCTCACTGACAAACTTTCCTAAGTGCCCACCCCCGCCTCTCCAGACGCACTCAGCTAGCCAGGAGAGGGCCACCCACCCACCCCTTATGGGGGCTCACAAGGGCCACCACCACCATCCCCCATCCCGACCGAGCCGGGCCGGGGGTAGAGGGCAAGAACTCAAGGGTGGGGTGCGCAAAGTCCTGGGATGCAGTTCTCCCAGAAAGCATATTCGAATATACTACCCCCTGTCGACCTCCCCACACCCACCCACCCCTACCTGGCTAGTCAGTGCTCGGGGGGGCAGGGGGGCCGGTGGCCAGACCCGGCGGGAGGGGGACAGGGAAAGCACGTGGTGACCTCCCCGCTGTCCAGAGCTGTGGACAAGAGACGCAGGGGGCGGGGAAGGGGGAGGCAGAACGCGCTTTTTCAGTTGCTTTGCAAAATAAAAAATGCTTTGCAAAGCCGAGCTTCTCCCCAGCCGATTTCGAAGTCGAGTTGGCCAGGAGGCGATCTGAGTATTGTGCTGGGGGCGAGCTCCAGCTAGTGTTTCTTTCAGCTCCTTTGCAGCTCTTCTTTGCAATCTCTTCTTTGAGCTTCTTCCATTATTGTGATAAAATCTTCATGTCCTTACTGTCTATGAACAAAAGGCGCACTTTTCTAGATACTGCTACTTCTTTTACAACTATCTTTCCTTTCCCCTTTCGTTGTCTACTTAAAAGATGATGTAACACCAACTACCTTTCTTTCTCTTCTCAAGCCCTTGGTAATCTGGAATTTGCCCCAGTGATTCTTTGAAACTGCTCTTATAAAAGCCCTCACTCCCTAATTGTTAAACCCTTTGGTTTTTTATAATTTTCT